AAGTCATCGTCACACAAAACGTCTCGAACAAGAGCTTGGAATGTTTTAGATCTAGCAGAGGAGCGTCGTATGTTTACCAGTTGTACGATATCGAATATATATATATATATATATATATATATATATATATATACCGTTCACCTTTTAAATGCTCGGATAACAACAACAAAAACGACAATGAGGAACAATATAGGTGCTACAAGATCAACTTACTTGGCACCACTTCATACCTTGATAAGTTTTAAGAATAAACTACCAACGTTAACAAATATGTCTATATCATCATGAAATGAGTGAATGATATCTATGAAATGATGAGAACAGTCTAAGCTTCTCAAGACCATCCACAAAGTTTACAGTGTCGAAGACCTTGGTAAGATCTATGAAGACATGAAACAGACATTGTTGCTGTCTTTACAACTTCACTTGGAGTTATCGCTCCTTGAAAATCTAAATCTATTGTTCCCTTATTGCATGCATAACTGTCGATTCAATACACGAGTATGACCATCGCTGGCAAGTTTGATTAATGTTTTTATGAAATGCGCAATGCTCAATTCAGGCCGCTAAATGTTGTTAATACTGTTTATTATAAACAGAGCATTTACTTAAATATTTGTATCTATAAAAAGAACGTATAAAAATAAGAACGACAATGGCTCTTGAAGCTTGCAAGTGTCTTGCAATGCTTAATGCACATGTAACAAATTGTTGTAATGTAGACTTTGTTCAAAATAGTCAAGAATTAGGAAGGTTGTAGCTAGAGAGAGTATCGACAGAACAAAAGACTTAGCAGAGGAAACAAATAAGAAGAGGTTTATTAAATACTCGTCACAGAACGGAAATAATAATTGAATAAACCAAATACTACTAAAGATTTTCCTCTAATGTGCCTACTTGCCGTATTTTTAAATAAGAGCAGTCCAATGTCACAGTAGTAGGAAAGAGCAGGTAGTACGCTGAATCCTACTCTACAACACAAAATTGTTTTGTACAGGGCCTGGCTTGTTTTGTAAAATCTCTTTTGCATGCTCGTTGGTTTCCATGTAACGGGTGAGACCAGAACAGTTTCTACAGGTTTTCTGACACATCCTGCATGTATGTATTTTCATGCATATGTACATATAAATCCTGGAAATAATTCCTGCATATATATTTACAAACGACAGAACAAAATTCAGTTAATATATAACAAGTAACAGACTGTGGACGAGAAAAATTACAGCTACCATTATCATAAGAAAAACGCCGATGAAAGAAACAAAAAAAAACATACTGGCGATGTGTAGAGCGATCTTGCAACATTGTTAATCTGTCATTGCATTTTAAACAAAAATAAACTTTTTTTATTCCTTTTTTAAAAATTTATGATTATATGCCTTTTTCAAAATTTATGGTAATTGCCTTTAAAGCTTCAAGCTTTATCAGAGGTACGCAATTATTGAGGGACGCATTTGTCTAGAGACACAAATGTTCAGGGATGCAATTGTCCGGGACACAAATTTCCAGTACCCAACTGTCTTAGAACCGTAATAACAATCCTCCTGTGTGACAGTGAATACTTGACAATTTCTTCAGAGATGAAGTAAAGACGAGGCAACAGAGATGTGGTTCTATAGAATGATGCTAAGGGAGGGATAAAAGGCACATAGAATAAGGAGAGGTTTGAAATTTCTAAGATGCATGATTAAAAAAAAGGACTCAAAGAATCACAGAACAGATAGAATACAGGATGGACATAGGAAAACAGCCTACGAAACGAGTTGGTGTAAATGGATGGCAGAACTTGAACTGAGATTGATACTAAGGCGCAAACAATGCTTAGATCTACTAAGTATAGAAAGATGTGGTGGGCCATGATCGTTGACACCCTGAACGGACACGGCACATAAAAGTAGTGGACGAAATTATTTACCTCATGAAAGCAAAAATATTTAAAAGATCCGTCGTTTACTATGACTCCATAACAGAGTCCTGTTCAATTGCCCCTGCGAGTTATGAACCGAAGTGTTAATAGATCTGATTGGCCGACGATCAAAGGTGACGAATATCTATCAAATGAGGAATTTACTGTTGTCATCATCCATTCTCGTTAGCCTCGTTCTCGGATTATCGCGTACCAGAATATTACTTCTAAATATTGGCTAGCTTCGTGCTAGCGAAATACGATTATCGCGCTTACAAAGATTGATTTCCCCGCAAGTTACTGGTTCAGCGAGGTGGAATGATGTTACGTCACTGAATCTGATGATAAGGCTTATTAGCAGGAACACCAATAGTCATCCGTTAATGTGTCATTTTCTATTAGCAGAACATTAATCAAACATTCGAAAAGATGCATGATGAAACAGAGTTTATGGGAATATTAAATAAATACAGATCAAGTGTTATATATATATATATATATATATATATATATATATATAAAATGAGAACAAATGGAATATGATTCTACTGTACGTAACAGGTTAACATCGCCTGAGGAGACACATTTATGGTG